CTGAGTTGAACATTAAGAGACATTTTGGAATCATGTGGACTGGTAAAGGCAAAGACATATTATATTATATAATCAGAAATTTTAAAGGAAGACATTGGCCAGACCACCAATGGTTGGCAAAGGAAGATTCACAAAGTCAGCAGTATTCTAAACCAGACCTGAGAGTCCTAACACTCCTAATACTGTGAATGCCTATCAAAAATGTGATGTCACTGAGTGACATCTTGTGAATGTCTTGTCTTCTTCAGGCTAGACTAAGATACCAGTCTCAAAACATAGCACCTTTCCTCATTTAAAAATTCCTTGGACAGAGCTGCCACTTTAAATTTTGAATTTTTTTTTTTAAGCCAAAGGGATAGATGGATAGACAGCTTGGCAGAGACATTCCAACTGGGCCTCTGTCACTTAAGTTTTAAATTACAGATAATATATGCCAGTTAAATTACTACCAATTCTTAAATCATAATATAAAGCTGTCACTGTTTTATGAGATTTTACAGTTATAGTTTCCAGATCCTCTATAAATATATAGTTGAAATTATTTAACGAGAAAACGTGGGTCAGCTTGAAAAGCATATTTTGGGGGAGCAAATTAAAGAAAACAGGCAAATACAGAAAACACGCTAGAAGGTAAAGCTATCAAATTTTATTTCCAACCCCAGAACACAACAAAAGAATTGATATATTCTGCTTTCTGTTTAATACTTGAATCATCAGAACACTGATGAAAAAAACCTGACATTACGATGGGTTTATTCATAACTAAGAAAAAAAGGGGGGGCGGTTCTGACATCTGACATTCCTATGTGGACAAAAACAATGCCCTCAATTCTCAGACAAAAAAAAAAAATGTAGGAACAGCTTTCAGATGCTAAACAAAAATGTGACTGACTCTAACTTACAATGTACATTCACTTATGCTTACAGAAGCTCAGAGGTTTTCAGGCTTATTTTCAGACTTAAAACATACACAGTTGTAATAAAACTAGCTAAGTCCTAGAAATAGAGGAAGCAAATATTTTCATTCTTACTTTGCAATCTGAGAATAGAAGAAAAGACAGGAAGTGACTTTCCCAAGACATACAAAGAGTCAAAAGAAAAGTAAACATAGATGTCCTGACTGTCTATCCTTAGCTTCAGCTAAATCTTTCCATACTTTAGAGAAGCAAGTCCCACTGGTTTACTACATCAACGATATAAATTCCTCCAACAGCTATATTGCCAAGAGTCCTAAATTCCTGGTTGTCAGAATACAGAATTCAGGAGATTAATTAAAATCCTTCACAATTTAAACTCGGATACCAATGTAGCTTGTCACATATCCTTAATAACTCAAAAAATGTCAAATAACAGAAATGTAAATTTTTATACATTATAAAACAATTCTGGGTGAGCGCAGTAATACACCTGTAAACCTACTCTGGAGGAATCTTAAGATTACAGTTTCAGGAGAGCCCAAACAAAATGTTCTTAAGACTCCATATCTCAACAATAAAAGTTAGGCATAGTGTTCTATGCCTATCATCCCAGCTACAAGTGTACAAAGCAAGTATAAAGATGATTATGGTCAAGTTGGCCCAGGCATAAAAGTGGGGACATTATTTGAAAAATAATAAAAGCAAAGAGGACTATAGCCCTGGCTAAAGCAGTGGAGTGTTTACCTAGAAAGCGAAAGCTCCAAGTTCAAAACTCAGCACCAAAAATAAATAACATTCAAAATAAAGTGTTTCTCAAAAAAGTCTGAAATCCAGCTGGGCGCTGGTGGTTCACGTTTGTAAATCCTACACAGGAGGCTGAGATCTGAAGATCTCGGTTCAAGGGCAGGAAAGGCCATGAGACTCATATCTCCAATAAACTACTCAGAAAACCGGAAGTGGCGCTGTGGCTCAGGTGGTAGAGCGCTAGCCTTGAGCTGAAGAGCTGAGGGACAGCGCCCAGGCCCAGAATTCAAACCCCATGACCGACAAAAAAAAAAAAAAAAAGCCAAATATAAGACTAGGGGACAACAGTGGTTTGCCTCTTCTTTTCCCATTTGAGACAGTGGCTTTTAGGGCACAGATGCCTAGCTATAAACCTGAAGCTTTCTGGTCTATAAAAATACCCATGTGTAGCTTAACCAATGTGGTGAATTAAGAAGTCCCTGATGAGTTACTACAGTTGTACAGCTACTTAACATATTCTGAATATAAATAGCATCATGGCCTCACTAGATCTTATATACCAATAACTTTACAGCCTCTGGATCAATACTTCCAGTTCCATTTTTGTTCTACAGATTAGTTTTAATCTCAAACTTTCATTTGGGGTTTTCGAGACTATCCTTATTCCAAAAGGTACATAATAAATCAGGCCATTCTATCTTCACACAACTTTCTGCAGAAGTTATGTTGCTTATGGCTTCTTCTCTATTGTTGTAATTGTCATAAATGAAGATAATTAGGTTCTCCTTCAGTGAGCATGCCATATCATCTTTGATTAAAAATTAGACACTATTTATTTGGGGAAAAAAAGTACCAGCACTCATGTAAAAAGGGACAAGAAAAAAATCTTTAGTGGCAATAAATGAATTGAAACAAATCTATTCTCCCAAACCAAAGTATTTATTTCTCAGACCACACTTAGCCTTCCTTGAAAGCTCACAAATTCACTAATAGCTACTGTTTATCACAACACAGTTTCACAAATAGTACTCAGACACTGATTTCCGGAGTGGAGCAACAGAAACACAGATAAGCAGCTTCAGCACATCACCCAATCTATCTAAGGCCAGTACTAGAACAGGGAAGCAGGAGAGCACTGAGTCACATGATGGCTATCCTCTGGACTCCACACTGCTGCAGGGGAAATAGAGCAGGTCTGATGAGTAGCAGATCCAAACTAATGATACTAAACAAGTAGAAAACCAAACTGGGAAGGAAACTTAAAGGGAGCACTCATCACAAAAGCGAATGCAATTTAGAACTTTTACACTATTATAACAACTATAAGGATACTGATTATTTCTGATGCTCAAATATGAATCCATACTTAGAATTCAGGTAAGGGTATGGCCTAAAAATATCTGCCATGGGCAGCATAAATAAAAAGTTTCCAAATTCCATTTCCATGGTAGAGCACTTACCTAGCACGTTCAAGACCCTGAATTTAAGCCTAAATACAAAAAGAAAATAAAAGCACACACACACACACACACATGCGCACACACATGCACACACACGCACGCGCGCGCGCACACATACACACACACGCGTGCGCAAGCAAGCGCTGTGCACGTAAAATTCCCAAGGGTAAAAACTATAATAAAAAAGTAATATGAACTAAGAGGCAATAAAAGCACTGTATTTCAAATCAATGCAATCAACAAAATGTATTTGAAGGGAAAATTAGAACCATAAAAACAATTGTTTAAATTAAACTCAAGAGCAGGTAATATTGAAAAGAAAAATAAAAGGAAACATAATGTTACAAAATAGGAAAATAGGAAAATCAACTTGTCAAATTAGATGAAATAAACTATTTATACCAAAAATGTGAATGACTAAAATTCAATCAAGAAAAAAAAGGGGACCATAAGTATAATGAAATCAAATCAATGATTCAAATAACAAAACTACTTCCAACTCTCAGTCTTTCCTCACAGTCTTTTCTTCACAAAAACAATGACAGCTTTTAAAGGCAAAGTCTACAATAGACAATCCCTAATCTATCCAGGCTTTTCCAGAAGGAAAGAAGGAAACAACTTTAAGACATAAGCTAAAAGTAATTGAGAAAAGTAATTTATGAAAAAGTCTTCAAGAAGTTTCTTCACAGCAAAGGACATACATACAAGCTAAAAAGCTACACATCATACAATAGTCTCATATCCAGAATATGCAAAGAGCTGAAGAAACTAAGCCATGAAATAATCAAAAACTCAATTAACAAATGAGTAAACAAGCTAAATAGTCTTCTCAGAAGTAAATAGGACCAAAAGACATGAAGAAATGCTCAACATCTTTGGCCATTAAGAAAATGTGAATTTAAAAAAACATTGAAATTCCATCTTACCCAGGTCAAAATGGCCATCATCAAGAATATAAACAACAACAAAAAAAAAAAGAATATAAACAACAGATGTTAGTGTGGATGTGGGGGGTAAAGGAACCCTACTACTACACTGTTCATAGGAATGCAAACTTTTTTAATCACTCTGGAAAACAGTATGGAGATTCCTCAAAAATCTAAACATACCCTATGATCCAACAATACCACCCTCTTGGGCATTTATCCAAAAGATTACAAATCAGAATACAATAAAGTCGTGTGCACAACCATGTTTGTTGCTACACTATTCACCACAGCCAAGGAACAGAAACAGCCCGGATGCCCCTCAGTGGACAACTAGATCAAGGAAATGTGGTATATATACATAATGGAATTTTACTCCTCCATTAGAAAAAAATATATTACATCATTTGCAAAAAATCTATGGACCTGAGGGAGAAAAATATTAAATTAAGTAGGCCCAGAGAGACAAAGAACACATTTTCTCTCATATATAAGCTAAAACTAATTTATAAATGTACAAGTAAACATATAGAGGATTGTATGCAAGTACATATCTCCAATTAATCAGCAAAAAATTGGCTAGAGATATGGTTCAAGTGCCAAGGAAGCAAGCCAAGCAAGCACAAGTCCCTGAGTTCAAATGCAATGGCTCTTTAAAAAAATGAATTTTATTTCTCAAGTAAAGGATCCCATATCTAGAAATACTATTTGAATGCTTAAAGCCTATTCAAAACAATCATAGCACAGTATACATGAGCAGTGAGTACACACTGGCAGAAACCATCAATGCTTATCCTGAATGACTGATTCTATATTCCTGCTGTTTAAATGCAAATTTACAACAGACTGGTATACAGGAACTATATTCACTGTACTGTGCCAATAAGAAGAGGAGATTACTTTCATGCCACACATCCAGAGAGCTCTCCTCTCTATTCAGCAACCTGTCTCACCTCCAGATCACAAGTGTATTCACTGCCATCTAGGAGAGTCACTTTACACTGTACAGTTTTGGTCTTCTTGGTAGCTTTCAGGGAAGCCTTCTCCGCCTTCAGCTCATTGGTCTGCACTTCCTTGGTCTCCCTTTTTGCTGCTTCTCCTTCAGATTTGTCAATCTGTATTTCCTTAACCTTCGCCTCTTCTTTCTCCTCCTTTACTTCTTCAGCAGGCTATCGAGGAAAAAAAAAAAATCAAGTTCATGAAAAAGCTAACCAAACTGAAAAAGTTAACAATCAAAAAGAAAATCTCTTCTGCTGTTTTTGTTTTTATGCCAGCACTGGCGCTTGAACTTAGGGTATGCACTTCCACACGTGGCTTTTTCACTCAACGCTGGTGCTCTACCACTTAAGCCACCCCTCTATTTCCAGCTTTTGCTGATTAATTAGACGGTAAGACTTTTCTGCCAGGGCTGATACCCCAATTTCCATATCTCATTCTCTAGAATAGTTAGGATTATAGGGATGTCACAAGCACCCAGCTCTTTTGGAGTTTTTTTGCTATGCTAGGCATCAAACCCAGAGCCTTATACATGCTAGGTATTTTCCAAAAGGAAAACTGTTAATAAGAGCTGTCGTAGTAGTATTAATCTAGGATCCCCAGGGCTTGGGAGGTTACAGCAGGAGGATAATGAGTTTAAGAGGACAGCCTGAGTTACACAAGACATTCCAGGCAAACTCAAATTAAACAGCTAACCTGGGGGGAGTGGGACCTTGTAGGACAGACACAGTAGCTCATGCCTATAATCCCAGCTACTTAAAAGAATTATGGCTCAAAGACAACCCAAACAAAAAAGGTTAGACATTCATCTCATCAAACAAACCAGGGGAGGTGGTATACACTTGTAATCCTAACTATGTGGAAGGTATAGGTACAGGATGATCATAGTCTAAGAACAATTCCAAGCCAAAACAACACTCCCACCTAAAAAATAAGCTAAAACAAAAGAGGCTAAGGTATATACTTCAAGTAGTACTGTACCTGCCTAGCAAGTACAAATTCAAAACAATACCACAAAAATATTTTTAAGTTATGATTATAACCACTACAAGCCTAAGGTTTTAAAGTAATTGTAATTTATGCTACAAAGGATGTTTTTCTTTATCCTCTATCCACTTTTACCAGGCAGGTAATTCGGGAATTAAATGAATAGAAGAAACTGCATCCCACAACAACAAGTTAAGTATCATTCAAATAACAGAATTTGAAGTGAATAAAATCTTATACCATAGCAAAAGCTAGGCTCCATTAGATAACCAAAATATACACATATAATTTACTTACACCCCACTGAATTCTTAAATAAATCAAAGAGTATCCTGTTTAAAAGAACGTACAGGAGTCAGGAACAGGAAGCCACGAGAACTTCTTAATAGTTTTATATTTATATATATGGTAAATGTTTTGCTTTATTATTGTGGAAATGTTTTTTAAAGAAATGACAGGAAGTCTATAGTAGAGCAATCCAAGACCTATATTCCAGTCTCATTGAGCCAAAGCACGATCTCAACAGAAGACAGCTAGAAATGGTATTTTTTTTAAGACCTTTGCCCTATGTGGTTCTGAATAACAAGCCTCTCAACACACCTGTGTCTCAGCACTGCTCACAGAAGGCTTTTCTTCCTTCACCTCCACCTTAACCTCTTGATGCTTCCTCTGAACCGTTTCTTCAGCATCACCCTTAGCCCGTCTCTCTTCTAACGGAAGGGAATCCTCTTTATCTAAGATTTGTTCTTCCATAACAGCTTGGGTAGATTCTTTTTTATCTCCTCCATCTTTGGCCACTACTAAGTTATATGACTTCTGTTTCTTAAGCCACGGGGGAATGAACCGAGAAATACCCCTGCTCTCAGATGGATCTTTCTCTCTCTTACGGCGGCGTGGACTACTTTGGCTTTCAGCTGTAGGAGATGGTTTTTCCTCTTCGGGCTCAGATGACAGATTTCTCTGATTTTCTGCTACTTCTTTAGCTTTCTCCTTGATTGCATCTGCTCCCAATTGGTCAGAGTCTCTTACTTCAGATGCAGAGCCAACTTCGGTAGTCATGGTTACAGCTTATACTGTAACAAAACAAAATCACAAAATAATATTTTACAGACTCTCCAATTTTAGTTTGATGACAAGGGAAAAGCAGGGTGGGAAGAGGTATGGCAAAGACAGAAGGGACAAGGCACACATTAAGAGGGAAGGTTCAAAAACCTAAGAGAAAATGGAGACTGCTAACTTTTAGAATTCTAAGAATCATAGAACCAAAAGAAACATCACAATAGCAGTAACTGATTCTCCACAGCAAGAATTTAAAGGGACCAACACTCAAGGAAGTAATTACTTTTATTTGGCTTCAGCTAATGATTAATAGTATCAGACCCAAATCCAGTTCTTTTATGCGTTAGTCACTTTTCAGACTGGACCCCAATCTCAAGACTCTGGGTCTTCTTATCTATGCCTCTTGCAGAGCTGAGATCACAAATGTACAAAACCACGCCTAGCTTATTAGTTGACTTTTTGCCTAGGCAGGTCTTAAACTGTGATATTTCCGATTTCCACCTCACAAGTAGCTCTAAGTGGATGTATTTTTTTTTTGTTTTTGTTTTTTGTTTTTTGCCGGTCATGGGGCCTGAACTCTGGATCTGGGCGCTGTCCCTCAGCTCTCAGCTCAAGTGCTCTACCACTGGAGCCACAGCGCCACTTCTGGCTTTTTCTGTTTATGTGGTACTGAGGAATCGAACCCAGGGCCTCATGCTTGCAAGGCATGCACTCTACCGCTGAGCCCTCTAAGTGGATGTATAAGTCACCATGCCAGGCCCTGTCTTCCAACATTAAATCCTCTAATTCATTATCACTATTCAAATGCAGGAAAAGGTATTCAAACCATAACCAAAAACCAAATCTTCAGTGAGCCCAACCTGAAACACATTTTTGTTCGTACACATGACTTGAAGACTAAACTACATAAAGGTATTATAGGGGCTGGGAATGTGGCTTAGTGGTAGAGTGCTTGCCTAGCATGCATGAAGCCCTTAGTTTGATTCCACAGTACCACATAAACAGAAAAAAACAGAAGTGGTGCTGTGGCTCAAGTGGTAGAGTGCTAGCCTTAAGCAAACGAAGCCCAGGGCTTACAGGGTTAGAAAATTCATCTAATGATTTATACTGTCACAATTATATTTTACATAAGAGGGACTTTTCAAGTGCTTGCTGTTTCTCTTCCCTAAGGAGAGAAGTTTTCTGAGTACTAGCATCCTAGCCAATGGGTAATGCCACAGCTGTCTTCCAAAGTGGCACAAATATGTGTGTGCTTAAAAAGACAACCTAAAGAACAACTGCTTAAAGGCATACTTGAGATACAAATCACATGCTAAAAAATTCATCCTGCTAATATACTTTTATTGGTTTTGAGTATATTCAAAAAATTGTATAGTATTTTTATCATTCTGAAAAGAAATATGGCTAGGTGCCAGATTTCACACCTGTAATCCTAGCTACTCAGCAGGCTGAGATCTGAGGATCACAGTTCAAAGCCAGTCCAGGCAGTAAAGTCCATGAGACTTTTAACTACGATTAACCGTGACAAAACTGGAAGTGGCGCCATAGCTCAATGTGGTAGAGTGCTAGCCTTGAGCAAAAGAGCTCAGGGACAGAGTCCAGGCCCTGAGTTCAAGCCCCATGACAGACAAAAACAAAAAAACAAACAAAAAAAACTTACTTACTAAATTAGCGATATCACAGAGAATAATTACATGTGAAATTATGTGGCCACGTAATCAAAACTAGGTTGATGGACAAAGGTAAATACAAAGTGTGAAAACAGAGAGAGCACTGATAAGCCACAGTGAAGCTTTACAAAATAGTGCTCAGCCTCCACTGTATTTAAGAACTCCAGAGTTGATTCATGTTGCTCATTCAATTCAAAGGTACAAGAGTGATTAACAATGGAAATAGCTAATTGAGATTGTGAATATGAACCATTAAAAGTAGATAGATAGATAGGTAGATAGATATAAGTATGTTCTTAAAATAGTTTCAAGAGCTAAGCAGAGCTTAAAAACAAATACTACCTTATTTTTTGATAATGGTTTCTTCAACAAATTACCACCATATATAGAAAATGATAGTGCACCAGTTACCATGTATATGACCCTCAGCATTTGAGTTATACACATGCCTTAAGCGCTATCACACAGGAAAATGGACACTGCTGTGCAGCAGAATTCCCACTAAAATAAAAGCCTCATGAAGCTGGTCACCAATGGCTCATGCCTATAATCTTAGCTACTCAGGAGGCTGAGATCTGAGGATCACAGTTTGAAGCCAACCTGGTCAGGAAAGTCTGCAACACTAACTCCAATAAATTACCCAGAAAAACGGAATCATGGCTCAAGTGGTAGAGCATTAGCCTTGAGTAAAAGCAGCTCAGGGACAGTGCCTAGGAGCCCTGAGTTCAAGCCCCAGGACCAGTAGGGAAAAAACAAAATGAAACAAAACAAAACAAAACCTCTATGAGGGCTGGGATCTTTCTTTCATTTACTACTAAGTTCCTACTGTCTAGATTGGAACATACACGGTGGTCAGTAATTATTTACTGAATGAGTAATATTGCATTATCTAGTACAGTATCCTCATTTTCTTTTATTATCAAGGAAACAGACTCAGAAGCTAGTTTTGCCTAATTTAAAAAGTTAAATAAGCAGAGCCAAACTAAAGTTTCCAAACTGTAACAATGTTCACAGCAGTAATCTTTAATTACAATTACCCTAAATCCATTATTAGTATAGTTATATAACATACTAAGTAAAGACCTTCTTACTTATCATCAAGCAAAAAAGAACACCACTGTTGAACAGCCAGCCCATTAGACAAGCATGTGGCTTTGACACAATTATCATGCTGGCAAGCTCCATCTGGGTTGATAAAAGTGTTCCTTATTGTGACAGCTCCATGAGAAAACGCATGCATCATTTACCATGCAACCAAGCAGAAAACTATCATCAGTAGAGGACCAGTACTGCTTAGGACTTGCAGTACTGAAAAAAATATCATTCTGTATTTTCTTAGACTTAAGGAAAAAAATAAAACGGAGGTGTAAATTCCACAGTGCTGTCTATATTGTTAGCTTAAAGCACTTACCATATAATATATTGCTTGAAGCACAGACCCTTAATCAACATACTACAACAAGCAAAGCAAAACAGACAAATATACAACTCCACATGCCCACAAAGAGCTTCAAGTAAGGAGCTCTTTCTAATTATTAGGTCCAGATGTTTCTTTAAAGAACTTGGGCTACTCTGCAAGTCCTTCTGGTTCAGATAATCCTTGGGGAAGTTGATGGCATGACTGCCAGTTAAGCAACCTCTGTCCTCTGCTGAGCTTAGGAGCAATATGAGGCCTTTGATTTATTTTAGCAGAACTCAAGACATTATTTAAGGGCCTAAGATTTACAAAAATAGGGACGTATGTGCATTTGTAAACTTTAACAACAGTGGTGAGAGGACAAAGGGAGGTTTTTGTTCAAACTTTTTGTTAACAAAGCTCTGCAACAAATAACTACAACCAGAAACTTAAACAATATTGACAATGTGAGGACACTTTTAATTTAGCTATTTTCCAGACCTGACAAAATTAATCTCCTATCTGCTATTGTCTTGAGTAAGTAGAGAATATATAGAACATCTTGCTGACGCTAGTCACTTCACTTTCACACCCTACAGCCTAAGTTCAAAATCCAATATTGCTGGGCACTGGTGGCTCACACCTGTAATCTTAACCACTTAGGAGGGAGCTGAGATCTAGAATAAAAGTTCGAAGTCAGCCTGGGCAGGAAAGTCCATGAGACTCTTATCTCCAATTAATCAACAACCAAAAACAAGCCAGAAATAGAGCTGTTCTTGTAGGAGAGCACTAGCCTTGAGCAAAAGCAGCTCAGGACACTGCCCAGACCCTTAAAAGTTCAAGCACCAGGACTAGCCCTTAAGAAATAAAAAAAGGGGCTGAGTAGGTGGCTCAGTGGTAGAGCACTTGCCTTGCATGCCTGAGGCCCTAGGTTCGATTCCTCAGCATCACATAAGCAAAAAGAAAAAAGCCGGAAGTGGCGCTGTGGCTCAAGTGGTAGAGCGCTAGCCTTGAGCTGAAGAGCTGAGGGACAGCGTCCAGGCCCAGAGTTCAGGCCCCACAACCTGACCCAAAAAAAAAAAAAAAGGAAAGAAAAGAAAAAAAAGAAATAATAAAAAATAAAAACAAAATCCTTCCATTATCTTCCACCAATACATCAAATGTAAGAAAAATGAATAGAGGAATCCAAGTATAGGAGTGATTCAGCAGCGACCTAACTCTACGTGGGAAATAATGGAATGATACTTCTCAAATTTAACAAACTTTTTAAAGGAGGAGTGGGGAGAGACAATATCTAGAAAAAGACATGAAATAACAAAAACAGGAAGACAGAATAGACTACAAAAGCTAGGGATGTAGTTCAGTGGCAGAAAAGCACGCTAAGCTTTTTTCAATCTCAACATGATAGAAGGCAGGGAGAAACAGGAAAGAAGCAAAAGGAGAAGGGAAAAGAGAAGGAAAAGGGAGGAGGGAAAACAGAAGACAAACTTCAAGTCCTTTCGCTTGTAGGTTTATTTTTTCTTAAGTATCAGAAGGTCTAGAGAATGCTATAACCTCTATTTAAATAAGTAAAAATACGTTAAAAAGAAATTATTTGTCAGTTTGTATTATCTATATGCTAGAGATAAACAAGAATCACTTTTTAAATAACATAATGCTACCCATCTTAACTTTAATGTGTTACACTTATTTATTTTTAAAGAAAGATAAAGGACCTAATAGAAAGACAGACTTTCTATAAAGATGTTAACTAACATCTGGATGAAATTAAGCTTATACATTCAAAAGATATGAACTTGCAACTCTTTGCTAGTTTAAGTCTGGGCAAGATCAGGTTTCATTCAGAGCATGTATTTCCTTTGCTCATTCTCCTTTTTAACAGAACACACGTTTTATTCAGCTTCCCTCCCCCTTCCACATGTTGTGTAGCCAAAGCTGGCTCCAGAGA